TGGTGAGAGCACTCACTACCTCACGTGCTGCACGTACAATATGACGAACATCAGATGTCTCACTCTGATCGGAATTCAAACCCAAAACAGTTTAGAGAATGAATTTACTTAAACTAATTATTAACTGTGAACTTATTTATCACCTCATTTATGTAACTTATTCACATGATGAACTTATTACTGTCTTTGAATAAAAGGCAGCTCTGGGACTAATTAAAGCTGATTTGCTTAGCTTCATGGTTGCTAACAGCTGCGCTAAATAAACAAGCTCCACTCGCTGTTTACTGAGATTCTTAGAGGTGGACAAAACAAAAAATGTGTCAGCCATTATATCGGTTATCAGCGGTCACCTTCCCCTCCCAATATCGGCGATAGCCAATATTTCCATATTGGTCAGGCTCTAAACACACAAACACAACACACACCCTGTGTCCAATTTAACACAAACAACACACACCCCGTGTCTAATTTAACACAAACAACACAACACACGCCCCGTGTCTAATTTAACACAAACAACACAACACACACCCCGTGTCTAATTTAACACAAACAACACAACAAACACCCCGTGTCTAATTTAACATAAACAACACAACACACACCCCGTGTCTAATTTAACACAAACAACACAACAAACACCCCGTGTCTAATTTAACACAAACAACACAACACACACCCTGTGTCTAATGCAACACAAACAACACAACACACACCCCGTGTCTAATTTAACACAAACAACACAACACACACCCCGTGTCTAATTTAACACAAACAACACAACACACACCCCGTGTCTAATTTAACACACAAACAACACAACACACACCCCGTGTCTAATGCAGGGTTCTTACCGATGCCCAGCAGGATGGACCACGTGTGTCCCAAATGGAAATTGGCAAGAAGGTGTATAAAGTTGAAGGCCATGAGAGAGAAGCAGAGGACGACACTGATCCATTCCTGACATCTTTTGCCTGGAGGAAGTAAAAAGAGTTCATAAGAGGAAAACTTTTCTGATAACGAGTTGAACTTCGGGTGATGTGTACTCAAGACATAAAACGTCCAAAGGTTACTAAACTTATCAGATCCTTTTTCAAAACAATAACTCAAGGTGGCAACATTCCTTTGTGCATCACGTGACTTCCAGCTGGGCCTGAATTACCTGTCTACCTGCGAGCAGTCAAATAAAACTACAATCTGAACTGTTTAAACAAGAGGACTGTTACTGCTGTCACATTAATAAGTGGCACGAGGAGCAGCAAGGTGTGTGGACCTTCCTGAGAACAAATTAAATCTTCAGATTAATGTGGAGCATTAATTTCAGATGATGTCACTCCGGTTACAGCTGTGTCCCCGAACCTCTGTCCAAAATGTGACAGAACCAAACCCCAGATAAATTCAGTCCTCATGATTCCTGTTGTGTAACAGCAGCATTGTTTGTCACAAAACACCACAACCACTGATTGATGACGTCAGTTTCTGGTCAAACTGAGCTCGTTGGTAAAACTGGCAGCTTCTTCACTTGGTTTAAGAAAGAGTATGTGCGCCTCCCTGGAACCGGTAGGAACCGAACCCGGAGCAGACGAAGCCGCCCGAGCGGATCGACTCACCTGGCGAGTACAGGCCGGCCAGCTCTCGTGCGCCGGCGTGCTGTGGACCCCATCTGGCCGCGCCCTGGTCCGGTTCCTCCCGCGGCTGAGTGGGTTCTGTTGTCGCTCCACATCCGTTCGCTTTCACCACACTCGCCATTTCTCCGATGTGGGCCCGGCCCCTTCAGACTCCCTCTACTCACGGAGACAGGAACCAACGGAATCGTCAAATTCTCAGTCCACGGACAGAACAACACTGTCAGCCAATCACATGCGAGCATTTTGGCGTGTCAGCCAATCACGGCACGGGAAACAGGTTTCGTGTTTCGACGAGTGACCAATGAAAAGAGCGGTTGTGGGCAGCTCGTGACTCTACTTCCTGGCCCCGCCCGCATCTCTTCTCGTATAATGCCCAATGCTACCAGCAGATGGCACTGTGGGGGGAAATAAAGGCTTTGAGGGCCGTGAAGCTGCTTTACTCGTTTTCATTTCACCTGGTTAGTCTCACTGAGCCTCAGACTCATTTACAAGAGAGGCCTAGCATGAACACTAAGAACAAATTCTTATTTACAGTGCTGACCTGGCAGCTGCACCCCTGCAGCTGTGAAAATGTGCTGCCCTTAAGGTTTCCTGAAAGTTTTAGGACATTAAATTTAAAGAAGTAACCAACAGCTGCCTAAACAACCAAAATTAAAAGCAAAAAGAGTCATAAATAAAGCTTTTAATAAAAGCATTATTTCAAATACAGTTACCAAACCAAAAAGCTAAAATTTCCCTTGTATATTTTAGGCCTCTGCCTTGTGTATTTAAATAATTTGGTAAATTAACCTTATTTTGGAGTTATGTGGAAATATGAATAATGACTATCTTACCTGTCATTGATAGATTGGTAAACTGTTTAGAGAAGCAGAGTTTGAGGGTGCATTCACACCAGCTCTGTTTAGTCCACTTTAATCAAGCTATAGTCCGTTTGCCCAAAAAGTCCGGTTCGTTTGGGGAAGTGCGAATGCGCAATCGAACCCTGATGCGGACCAAAAAAGCAAACTCTGGTTCACCTAAATACCTAGGTCTCGGTTCGACTGAAGTGAACTCGAATGCGGTTCGAATGCATTGTGAATGCAAGCTGGCCGGAGACCGCTCCAAAAGCAGGAAGTGGACTACAACGCAGGGCGAACAAACGTGCATTTCTCTTACCTTATACGGAGCCTTCTCAGCCGCCTTGTGTGAAAAACAACATTCTCCGTGGTCTTCTGCCTCATCTTCCACTCATGCTGAGTCCATTGTTGAAAAATTGACAAAACAGAAATCCTAAAACCACCTAAATTTGATGCCACTCCATTTTTGTTTTTATTTCCAGAAGAAGAAGGTGTCTTCTTCAGAGTTTTGTGTGTGTGTTGTTTCCTTCAGTAGTTTTTGGTGTAGTACCACCACAGGCGAGGGGGACAACAGGTTGGCTCGACTGACTCAGTGCAGTGTGAATGTGAAACGCACCAGCTGAAAATGTAAACAAATGTTTCCAATTTCGGTCCCCAATCAAACTGAGTCTACCGGACTATCAGGTGTGAAAACGACCTAAAGCCCTGTTTACACGACGTGAAACGTTCAGCCGTTCATTTACACAACAGCCCTCATTCTCTCTGAAACCGAAAGTTTTGAATCTAGAGGTGTTTTCACGCCAGACAGTCCAGTAGACTCGGTTCAATTGGGGACAAAAATTCGGAACATTTGTTTACATTTTCAGCTGGTGCGGTTTGCATTCACACTGCACTGAGTCAATTGAGCCAACCTGTTCCCCCCTCGCCTGTGGTGGTGCTGCACCAAGAACTACTGAAGGAAACAACACAAAAACCTCTGAAGAAGACACTTCTTCTTCTTCTTCTTCCTCTTCTTTTGGAAATAAACACAAAAACAGAGTGGGGTCAAATTTTCGTGGTTTTAGGATTTCTGTTTTTTTCTGTGGCACATGTGCCAAACAAACATTTTTCAACAATGGGCTCAGCATGAGTGGAAGATGAGGCATAAGACCGTGGAGAATGTTGTTTTTCACACAAGGCGGCTGAGATGGCTGCGTATGAGGTAAGAGAAATGTGTGCTTGTTCGCCCTGCGCTTCACTCCACTTCCTGCTTTTGGAGCAGTCTCCGGACCCTTGCATTCAAGATGCATTCGAACCACGCCAGAGTTAACTTCAACCAAACCAATACCTAGATATTTAGGTGGACCAGAGTTAGCTTTTCTGGTCCGGATCAGAGTTCAATCGCGCATCCATCCATCCATTATCTTTGCCTGCTTATTCCATTTTGGGTCACGGGGGTCGCCGGTGCCCATGTCCAGCAATCACTGTGCGAGGGGCGGGGGACACCCTGGACAGGTCGCAAGTCCATCACAGGGAAACATAGAGACAAACGAGACAAACAACCATTCACTCTCTCGCTCACACCTAGGGACAATTTAGAGTTACCAATCAGCCTAACATGCATGTTTTTGGTCTGTGGGAGGAAACCGGAGCACCCGGAGAAAACCCACGCATGCACGGAGAGAACATGCAAACTCCACCCAGAAAGGCCCCTGGACCGGGGTTTGAACCAAGGACCAAGGGTTTGGACCTGCTCGCTGAGAGGCAGCAGCTCTACCAGTTGCGCCACCGTGCTGCATCGCGCATTCACACCTCCCCAAATTAACCGGACTTTCTAGGCAAACGGACTAGAGTTTGATTAAAGTGGACTACACAGAGCTGGTGTGAATGCACCCTATGTCTCAGGGGCCGTTTACACGGCATGTATTTTGAGTGAATCCGCAGCTTTCTCTCTGCGGTCCTGCTGATCATTTACACAACACCAGTGGCCCCCCTCTTTGAATCCGGAGGTTTCTGAACCCACCTTCCAGAGTGGAGGTTTTTCGCTGACCCCCCACTGATAATGTAAACATCTACCGCTGAGGCTTTGTGTTAAACCACATGCGCACACGCACGCGTGGACAGACGCCATATTTCTATCAACATGGTGGCGGACACACTGCTTTCAGAACCTCGACTGATGGAATTTATTTTAATTTCGTAGTTAATCTACGTCAGATTCTAGAAGCTGTGACTGACATCTGTTTTGGAAGAGACACAATCTGATCCAGTTCTAATATCGCTGTTTATAGAAAGAGGCACGCGCACACGTCGTGCTGCACTATAACATAAATGTGCTAAATAATAAGTTTAATAGTAATAAACAGTATTTATGTTAGTGTGCGAGATATAATGAAGCTGAGCTAAATGAAGCTATATGGACATTATGTAATTCAAATTTACAATGATGCTAAACATATAGCGTGAACACTAAAGTTGAAAATGAAATTGAAGACATCAGGTTTAATTTTTATTTATTTATTCAACACCACAAACTGTATGTCACACAAACACTGATAATTAAACTGAACACACTATTAAAAAAGTTAACTGAACTTGAATGGATTGAATAAAACAACTGAGGGGAATTTTAAACAAATAGTTCATCAACATCTGTCTTCGGCGTCCTCCTGTAGTTCATCTGGGCCGAGCCTCGTTCAGAACCGGTCCACCTGGTAGAAGGACAGCTCCTTCTTCTTTCAGGAAAAAATTTAAACTCAGTTGGTTGTTTTGTAACCAAAGTAAACACAAGCTAACATTATTAAGAACATTTGATTTACCTGCAGTAATCAACTACTGATTATCACGGAATAAAGTCTGACATGGTCGACTCAGTTCTGGTCCACTCAGCGACCAGTGTGGAGCTGTTAGATGAAGCGGTCCCGATTGGCGTCAAATCTGTCGACTCTTATCCAAAATCCAGCCAGAATTCAGCTTTAACTTGTTACGTTGTTGTTAGCTCACAGGAAAGAAGCGTGCTGAGGCAGCACGCATGCGCATTAGGTGAAGGTACAAAATTCACAGTGCCATCTAATGACCTGGCATGATAACTACAACAGATTCGGGGGGGTGGGGGGGGATCCTCCGGATGCATGTAAATACAAAATCCGACTGTGTCAACGCAAATCTTTTCCTCTAATTAACATACAAAAAACCTATGTTTCCCCCCATTCTGTCCGGGTAAATAGGGCCTCAGAGTGGAGATTTTTTGGGGAATCCCCCACGGAGGTGTGAAATGTTCCACAAGTGTGAAGTGGCACGTGCGCACTACAGGCAACTGCAGTCCAAAGTTTTTATGCACTAACAACAGTTATAATAAATGGCAGAGTGTTTTTGTGCTACTCACCCTTTTTCATAATGTAGGAACAAAACTAATAAAATCCAGGGTCCAAAGAGACGTTAGTGTGTTCACCAGGTTAGGCTCTCATGCACTCTTTGCATGCACAATGAATGTGGCTGAGCCCAGCATCAAAATTGCCAGATATATTTAAAATGCTTATTTACCCCCCTCCTTTTCTGTGCACGTTCAACAAACACAACATACACCTCATCTTAGAATATCTTTACTCAGCTTCATTTTACTGCATTTTATAGAGATGCATGCCGTATAACATTTATTACATTTATTGCATACTGCAGAGACGGGACAGGAAGCTGGAAGTTGATGCCTCAAAGAAGAGGCGCCCCATAGAGGCTGGCTGCGGGACAGTTTTTGAGTCCGGCCCTTCCATTGAAACCAGTGGGACTTTTTTCAGATTATGATTTCTGTTGATTTGTTTAGTTATGACCTGATTGTTGGCGAGTCGTGTTTGTGTGTAGACTAGACTTTTGTATCAGTAATACAGCCAAAGATTCAGCCAAAGTTTCAAACCGTGGTACTCTGTCTCCAAAAGTTCAACAGGGCAGGCACAGCCGAACATTTTGTGTGAGTATGGTGTCCTCTTGTGGCCGTCCTACACCTGCACTCCCTGGTGTCCCATCTTAGTAATTAGTCTTTCCCTTTGTCACCTGCGTGTCCTGTCCAGGCGTGTTTGTGGTTATGTGTTGTTAGTTTGTGTATATAAGTGTGTTTTTCTGTTACTCGTTAGTTGGTCATTGTCTGGTGATGTCCTGGTTTGTCTCCCCACTCCTGCTGCCTTGTCAGCTCTTTGTTTTTGCTTAATAAATATTTTAGTTACATAAACCCTCTGAGCTCTCTGAGTCCTGCCTGCACTTGGGTTCGACCTGCTCCCAGATCGTAACAAAATGACCAACTCAAAGAAGAACCCAGCAGGCTGCCCATTTCTGGATGCACTCGCTCCGGAATACGAGCAGCGACTCCGC